TGCTGAACCCCATCAATTCTGAAATGACAGGTTTACAGGAGGACCTGAATGGTCATGTCATATAACCCCCACGTTGACCTCCAGAGATAGAGCAGGAGAAAAGAAAAAACATTCAAAAAAGGTTGAGCCTTTTTCACTAGTTTAAAAAGCAAAGCAGTGAAGCAACAGTATGGATGTGACAACATAACGGGTTCCTACATTTGGTGGAGAATAGAGAGAACTTGGAGTTTGGAAAAAGTGTTACTAGAAATACACAAGAGTACCGATCGGCATCACAGACTTCCCTGGAAGATGTTTATTAGCATAAGGCTGCTGAATGGGATTCAAACTAACTGTTCTGTAAATCAGGTTGGGCAGAGCTCAACTAGTTCATAGTCTTGTTATAAAACAACCTCTATACGCAGAGAGCAGTTGTGACATTTAGTGAGCAACTTTCCTGTTTCAGACAGGAAACACAATCTTGTGCTACTCCTGCAACAGCTGAGCAGCAGTCTCCTGAAAATAAGGCCTAAAACCAGACAAGTTCTAACATATGAGCTACACTTCTCCTTTCCCCTAGAAGGATGTTTTTCCATCTCCACTTTCAGTGTGTAGCTCTTGTTGATTAAAAGGCTTGGGTAAAACAGATGGGAGCATAACAGTGATGGAACTGTAGCTGTTTAAATACCTGCAGCTTTCAGTATTGTCAGGGGATCCTAGAGGCTTGGGTAGATGCCTTTTTCTCATCTTTTGGGATTTTTGCTGTACAAATCAAAATAAAATAAAATTATAGCTTAGAAAATAGTTCTATTGACATTTGAGATAGAACAGAGTGCAGTAACTCTTCTTTGGCCAAACTGAGCCAGTTGCACTAGCAATTATTTTGTCAGTAAACAAAGCAGATTGCATATGATTTAAAAATACACAGGCACTAAGTATGAGGAGTTAAAAGTGCCTTGTTTAGGCAGTCACTTAAAGTTACTTTTTTAAAAATTGCAGTTTTCATTTAGTTCCATTTCCATCTTTATACTGTTTTATGCCTTAGTCACAATATCTCTTGCAGCTGATATGCCAAACCGCACTGACTTGCAACATTCCACTGCCCTAGCACTTTTTTAAAAGGGGGAAAGTTCATAGATCCCTATTTCACTTCTGCATATCTGCTGACTCTTAGCTGTACAAGAGCCAGGGAGACTGAAGCTCATAGTGAGTTGGTATCAGCAAGAGCAAACACACGTGGCAAGGTCAGGCCTGTGGGGGTATTAAATGAAACAAAAATTACCTGAATATGCAGTGCTGTAATCAGAGCAATATCTTTTCTTCCTTCGAAAAACACGAGAAAAGTCTGAATTGCTGTTTTAATTGCATTCTTTTTTCCTCCTCTTGGTGCCCTGTTTTTTGCTTTGCTACAGTCCATCTTCTTAGTCCATAAACAAATTACTCTTTGTGGAACATAGCTTTCATTCGTAGAACTGATGACTAGTAATGACTGGTGAGATCAGTGCATCAAAACATAATACAGTAATATTCAGGTACTGCTGATGAAATACTGACCAAAACTCAGTAAAAGTGATATCCTTAAGATAAAGGCTATGCCCAATTTCTACTAACCGGGTGCGGTTACATGAGACCTTTACCGCGGAGTTGCCCAATTAGCTCTGCAGTAAACGTCTCAGCATCTACAAGTGTGGCCCTATTAGGCCACAGGAAACTAACAAACTCTGCAGCAGGTTAGTACTGGTAAATACAAGTTTTAATCTGCTGTGGAGTTTTTTCATGCGCAGCAACACACGTGTAGATGCTGATCCAGCTGGCTGCCACACTGGATCACCCTCGTGCCCCAGCCAGCCCCTCAGCACATTGAGCCGGGGCAGAGCAGCCCTGGAGCCCACACATCTCCTGCCAGCCAGGGCTGCTCTGACCTGGTTCAATGTGCTGTGGTTCCAGGCGCACATTCAAATGGGGCACCTAGGAGCAATAAACTCCCATGCAATAAACTCCCATGTATCTGGGACGTAGCGGAGAGGATCCCAAAGCTTATCTGGCCCTCCGACCACTACACTATGCTCCTTATCCATGTGGCCATGAATGACATGTCTCAGAGCAATCCCAGCCGGGTCATGAGAGACTACAGGGCTCTGGGAGCGGGGCTTAGGGGGTTGGGGGTGCAGGTGTTTTTTTCCTCACTCCTCCTGGTTGTGGGTCATGGACTGAGGAGGGACTGATGGATCAAGGTAGTCAACCAAAGACTGCAGTGCTGGCGTCATCGTGAAGGCTTTGCCTTCCACAATCACAGTCTGCTCTTTAGTGAGAGAGGCGGTGGTCTGCTGGGGAGAGACAACCTCCACCTCACTCCACTTGGGAGGAGGCTCTTCTCAGCCCTATGGCTGGGAAATTGGCTCTGAGGTCGGACCCAGAGAGGTAGTAGTCGATAGAAGTGAATCATTATGGCACTCTGTGACCAGTGGTGTCCCCCAAGGCTCTGTCCTTGGACCAGTTCTCTTTAACATCTTCATCAACGATGTGGACATTGGAGTCAGAAGCATACTGGCCAAGTTTGCCGATGACGCTAAACTTTGAGGCATAGCGTCCACACCTGAGGACAGGCTAGTGATCCAGGCTGACTTGGATAAGATTAGAAAGTGGGCGGATATAAACCTGATGACATTCAATACCGAAAAATGCAAGGTACTCCACCTTGGGGGGAAAAAACCTGCAGCACGCTTATAGGCTTGGCAGTGCTATGTTCGCTAGCACCATGGCTGAAAGAGACATGGGGGTCATGGTTGATCACAAGATGAACATGAGCCATCAATGCAACATCACAGCTGGCAAAGCAAACAAAACTCTGGCTTGCATCCATAGATGCTTCTCACGTAAATCTCAGGATGTCATCCTCCCGCTGTACTCAGCCTTGGTGAGGCCGCAGCTGGAGTACTGCATCCAATGCTGGGCTCCACAATTCAAGAAGGAGGTTGAGAAGCTTGAGAGAGTCCAGAGGAGAGCCACGCGCGTGATCAGAGGGCAAGAGAATAGGCCTTATAAAGAGAGGCTGAAAGCCATGGGACTCTCCAGCCTGGAAAAGCATAGGCTCAGGGGTGACCTGGTGGCTGCCTATAAGTATATAAGGGGTATACATCAGGATTTGGGAAGACGTCTGTTCACCAGAGCGCCCCAAGGGACCAACGATCATAAACCGGAATTGGAATGTGGGATGAAGGAAGTATATCCAAGGATATACTTTTCAGGAGTTTTAAAACACCTTTGATATGATATTATAATATATTCTTTACTGTGGTCATTTAAATTATAAAATCATGTAAAATTTCCTAAATTTAAGGCAGTAGTTCAATTATGTGGTTTTCTACAGATTAGTTCTGAGATCTAATGGAGGTTGTAATATCAGAGAGTGGGGTTTCTGGAAAAGTTGTTGCAGCCTTGGAACTCATAGGTATGGCTTCATGGGATATGAAATTAAAATAAAAGGTGAATTTAAAATAAATGTGAGCTATCTGTCCCATATCCTAGGTATTTTGGTCAATCAACATTGAAAATACTTTTAAATTTTAAAAATAATTTAATATACAACTATAAATGAAGTAAGTGTATTTCATATACTCATGTATGTTTGTATGCATAAAATACACATACACAGAGCAATGATTTCAGTGTGATTTGAGAAAGTTCGGTGTCTCTTATGTAAGTGGTCCTTTTATGTCTTCTTAAAATAGGTATTTATTTTGCTCTTTCTTTTTAGTGTTAGCTAATACATTATGTGTCATCTTCATTTTGGAGGACTTTTTAGTTTTTCTGTTGCTCTTATGTATGCTAAGTATCAGGATCTTAGATTGTACAAACATTCAGAGATTCAGAGATGCTAGGGTTGGAAGGGACCTCAACAGATCATCGAGTCTGACCCCCTGTCTGGGCAGGAAAGAGAGCCTGGGGTCAGATCACCCCAGCCAGATGCCTACCCAGCCTTCTCTTAAAGACCCATAAGGTAGGGGAGAGCACCACCTCCCTTGGGAGCCCATTCCAAATTTTGACCACCCTTACTGTGAAGAAGTTTTTCCTGATATCTAGCCTAAATCTGCTCTCTGTCGGTCTGTGAGCATTGTTCCTTGTTACCCCAAGAGGCACCCTGGTGAACAGAGCATCTCCGATCCCTTGCTGTGTCCCCCTAATGAATTTGTAGGCAGCCACAAGATCACCTCTCAGCCTTCTCTTGTGGAGGCTGAAGAGGTCCAGCTCCCTCAGTCTCTCCTCATAGGGCTTGTCTTGTAAGCCCCTAATCATATGAGTGGCCCTCCTCTGGACCCTCTCGAGTCTACCAACATCTTTCTTGAAGTATGGCACCCAAAACTGGATGCAGTACTCCAACTGCGGTCTGACCAATGCCACATAGAGGGGAAGTATCACCTCCTTGGATCTATTTTTCATGCATCTGCTGATGCATGATAAAGTGCGGTTAGCTTTGCTGATGATTTCGTCACACTGACGACTCATGTTCATCTTGGAGTCCACTATGACTCCGAGATCCCTTTTCACTTCTTCCCAACCAGTAGGTGTGCTGGATATTTTTCAGCCCTAGGAGCAGCACTCTTGTCCTTATTGTACTGCATCCTATAATGTACTGCCCACTTTTCCAACCTGTCCATGTCTGCCTGCAATCATTCCCTACCCTCCAGATTGTGCACTTCACCCCACAATTTAGTATTGTCTGCAAACTTGGACAAAAACATTATATTCCTCTGTTTGCATTAAGACTTATACAATTACTTATTAGAGTTTTAACTGCAAATTATTTTTAAGATACCATTGTGTTATGATGTAGTATGGCATATCTAGCATTTTGTGACAGTGTTTTATTTCTTTCCATGGGCTAGGGACAGAAGTTACACATTAACTGATATAATTGATTGGAAACCAGTTCAAATCTGTAAAACAACAAAAGTTCAGCACACATGAAACAGTTTCAAAATGGCCAAAATTGGTCTAAGATAAACCTGGATTGATGTAGCATCACACTTAACTGATTTAGGTTAAATCAATTTATTGAACTTCTTTCCCAGGTCCCCTCCAGATTCAAGTTAATTCACAGTCCCCCAGCATCCTAGGTTGCTTTGCTCTTTTGGGGGTTTCCTTTGCCTTGCAGCAAGAGTTTGGATTAAAGGTTGAAACTGGCAGCAGTAGTACCACAATGAACCATGAGAGCAGTGGAGGCTTTTGGCAGGTGTGCCCCAAATTAAGTCCCATGCCCTCCCAAGTACCACTCCAATCCCCTTCTTGTACCTGATCTGCTGCTCTTTCTCCCTGATCTGCCACATCCCACATACTGTCCCAGACCCTTTGCTGGTTTAAGCTAAACCAGACACCCCCAGCATCCCAACATGCTCTCTGGGCTGGGTATGGCTCTCTGATCCACAGCAGGGCTGCCTGCACCCCATCCTGCTCTTCCCCCATCTCCCCTCACCACTCCCTGCCTAAGCAGAGATCCCTTCCTCCTCTCTCCCACAGCATGGACTGTAGCCCGCATGTGGTATGCTAGCTAATGCTGTGCAAGGCAAATAGGGTAGTGTCCGCTTAGGGCTTTTTGGAGGTAATTAACAGCTCAGATGGTAATGTCCCTGCATTCCTTCCTTTGCAAAAAGCTGCTTAAGAAGAGCTTGTAATGGGTGAGGCTTTGTTTTCTGATGGGGATTAAATGCTGATAACAGATCTGATAAATGCTTTGTTATCAAGGGGAAGGGGAACCCTCCTTGATCATAGTGTCCTGCCAGGGCCTGGCCACACCCCCCTCAGCTCCTTGTAAAAGGGAAGGGAGAGCTGCTGTAGCACACCACCCCCCTCCGGCTTCTAGGTGAGCCATTGCAGGCATGTGCCTGCATTTCTGTGATGTCTGTCTGGGTTACAAACTGATCTAGCCTAGAGGCCACCCATGGTAATTGTGGCACAAATGCCGTGAATTGGCCACCCCAGCCCTAGAGAATCCCCTACTGGAGGCCATTCTCAACTATATATGGAAAAGGGTAAATACTAGAAACCATATAGACCTAGGAATAAAGTAGTGGTTAGTATCCCTTCCTAGTTATCTGCTGCCTTGAGTAACAACTCAGCCCACATCCCAAGTGCTCCAGACATGGGTGTACAAAATGAGTGCCAGAAAAATAAAGGCAGAATGTAACCTCTACATCAATAGTTCCCATAACCTGCAGCCAAACTCAATCCTTCTGTAAGTGGATGCTGTGTCACTGACTTCAGTGGGAATTGCGTGTGTTTGCATCAAGGGCTGAATTTTGGTTCCCCCAGAATACCACTATGGTGTGAACTGTACTCATTTTGTAAAGTTACTGAATACCAAACCACTGCCTCTTGAACCATTTTGCAATATGTAACCATTTTCTGATTCATTTATGTTCAGTTAGCCAACAGAAACATTTATAACATCACTGAATATAGCCTTGCACATTGAATATAGCCCCTTTAATTATGTGGGAGTAAGGCTACTGTCTGTGCTTTTAAAATTAAAATCCTTGGTTTTTGTGCCCTACCTTGCAAAGGAAATTCTTTGAGCCAGCTCACCTCAGAACTGTAAAATAAAATTAAAATTGTTTGCCTCTTTAATTAAGAGAGCTCTATCTTTGCTAAGTAATTCAAAACAAAAACATTTTGTTTCACAGCGGTTACCTAAATAAAATGCTCTTTTTAACACCAGTATTGACAATGATCACAGGCCACCTATGATCACATCATAGTAAACAAAATACGTTAAAAAAATTGTGTTAAATCATTTTGGTACTAAGTAGCACTAACTGAAAAAGCACAGGAACAGTATTATTTTCTTGCCCCAAGTGCCAGCCCCTGGAGGAGCAGGTAGAGGCATACTGTTGGGAAGTATGCTGCACCTGTCCCATAGATAAACAAAATACTTAAATCAAGGGGTTTGTCAAACTCATGCTTCCACTTGGACCAAGGCTCCCAAAGGGTGCCTGAAGTTAATGAGATCACTGGTTAAAAACTTCATACCAGTAAATAGGCCATGATTTTCAGAGGTACTGAGTACAAAGTCCCTCACTCCCTAAGGATTCAACAGCAGTGCAGATGCTTAGCACCTCTGAATATCACAGCACTTTTACTGAGATATCAATATAGGGTTTTAATTTGCCCAATGCTAGACACCAAGGCTGAAAATTTTGCCCCAATGTCATAGTAAAAATGTGCTGAAACACCCAAAAAGTCCTGTAATTATATTGATCTAAAATCACCTGTGAGCATCTTGAGCTGTTGCTATACTTTCATCTGCTTAATAAATAATCCCTTTGTTATAATCAGCAACAGCCTGGAACCTCTTGCAGGTGAGTAGTTGTACTCATCAAGAAACATAAGTGTCGGGGCCGAGGGGCTGTGGCCAGCAGCCCGGGCACGTGGGCCGGGGAAAAGGGTCGACACGGCGAACTAGAATTAGGCACTGATGCGTAGAGGTTGATTAAAGATTATTTTATTTACACCGTAGGTGGTCGCGGTGTAGGCAGGAAAACTTTTTTGAGTTGTAGTTACAAAAAAACCCCACACACATGGAGTTTGCTAGGCTCCACCGAAGACACACGAGCGGAGTTTGCTAGGCTCCGCTAAACCAACACGAACAGAGCTCTGGATACCACTCACGGAGTTTGCTAGGCTCCGTGGACCGACCGAAATGAGAGTCTGAAAGGTGACTCTCCACGAGCGTGCAGGGTAGGGTACGTCGAGGGATCATGCGGCGATGGGGAGAGACTCTTGATGGGTGATCAAGCCACCATTCGGTCCGAGATTTACGTAGAAGTCCACGAGGTAATTGTAGACTCCTTGCCAGAATTCTCTCGGATTTTTCCCGGAATTTTCGGAATCGGGGTTCTCAGGATCTTCCTGAGATTCTCGGAAATCTCCAGCTTGGGCGGAAACTGCTCAAGCCTCTTATACGGCTAGCAAGCCAATCGCTAGCCGCCACGTGGGAATAATTTAGAAACAGCCAATAGTGGGAACAAATTTACATACGGGTGGCGGGAACTCCTTTGCACCGGGGTTTTCTCTATGCAACTGAGAAATGCACCGTGCAAAGAAAGCTCCATGTGGCGGGAAATAATTCTGCAGTGCTGATGCACACACAAAATCATACCCTTTGGGTCATGACAATAAGGATCATTCACAACTATTTTTTATAAATTATTTACAATCTCAGCTTTTCTCTTTTTTAAAGAAAGGGGTTTACATCAGCAGTGGTGATTCATTTATCTTCAAGTGAGGACTGTCCTGCTTAGGGTAAGCAGGCAGCTGGAATCCCTACTGAGACTCAGGCCCTATCAGAGCTCTTTTAACTAACAGCTGACTTGATAGAGACCAAGGAAAAGAAGCAACTGAGAGGTGTTTCCTCCCTGCCTCAAGTAGTCCTGGAAAACCAGCCTAAACAAGTCAGCATATGTGCCTGATTGGCATATGCCTCCTGAGGCTAGAATGGACACTAGCTCTCATGTAGTAGATGGTTTGTGGAAATATGACCTGCAGGGAGGAGTAGGAGGAAGAGAAGTCCAGCCTGTGGAGTTAGAACATCAACTCCTCTTTGGATCTGCTTCCCGTTTTTAGTGATGCATTGAGGATGGGTAGAAGGGGAAAGCAGGAGATGAATAAGAACAAAGAAAGAGTGGTGAGCATAGAGCAACAAAGGGAACACAGAAGGGGAAGAGTACTCCAGAAACACAAGAAAATAGAGGGATAATCCCAGAAGGTGGAAAAGAAATGGTGTGAAAAATAATCAGTTTATATAACTTTTGGATGCTGTGATAGCTTATAACACAATGCCTGTGGCAAGATCCCCCCACACATCCACTACAAAGCTTCAGGATATGATATCGGTTTGGTGGCAGGCTGTTCTCCTTTAAGACTGGTACAGACAGCACAAGCCTATATTTTGAGGATGCTGGTGTTGCTTAGTCAGGCTGAGCTGTAGCAAACAGGGCCCTAGAAAGGCCTGCTCAGCACAGGGTCTGTAGAATAGTTGTGGGAGGGTTGAGCTTGTGTGTAATGTGGACCCCTCCAGTACCTGACTAGGGATTGTTGATGGATTGCTTGACGCAGAGAACTAGAGGAAGATTTAAAAGGCAGCTTTGCTACCTTGAGGTCTCATGCATGAGAAAGAAGGCAGTTCTCACTGCCAAAGACCTCGGTCCATAAAACAGTGGCGCTCCCCTGACTCTTTTATGTGTGAGAAAGTCGGGTTATTCTGCAACCCCACATCAGGTCCTTGGAAAGCTTTCACCAGAGATGTCTAAGATGGGAACCCTGGTAGCAAAGGGCATGCAACAATAGGTTAATACATAGAGTCAGGTAATAATACATGTAATAATACATGGAATCAGTGATCCCTACAGCAAGGCTCTGCCATATTACATCCTTGATGACAGGACTCCAGCAGAGTTGCTATCTTGGCAAAGGTGGAAACACTACATCATGTCTGACTTGAGGAAGGCCAATGCACATTGCAAATGACACACTGGTCAGACACTTAGATCAGGCAATCAACAGAGTGTTTCTGGAGACAACTGCTGAGATGGAGGTGAGGTTGTTAGTGACAGGACCTCATTTGTTCCTTATTTTAGTCTGTGGTGTTGCAAGTAGAGCTGGTGCCTGGGGCAAAACCTGCAGGAGTGCTGGGGGTGAGGGGAAGGGTCCAGTTCTGGGAGTAGGGGTGGGGAGGAACACAGCAGTCTTAACTATGCTGGAAACTCCTAAACTGTCTCTGGCTGAGCTGCTGCTGCTGCATCGGCTGCCTCAGCTCTTGCTCTTAAAGGAACAGAGACTAAGAAGATAAAATGATTTTTTTTTCCCAGTCTGTTTACTCAGTTTGATAGGACTTTGTATAAACTAAGTTTCATGATTTCCCTTGTAAAAATTCTGCAAATGCTTTAATGAAAGACATAGAAAAACTAAGGTCATTTTAATACTGCATTATCAAGATCTGATCCGAGTCCTGCATACGTTATTGCTTTCACCACTACTGTCACTACACAGATGACAATGTAACAGTGGTGTTGTAAGTTTTTTGGAAGAATGTTAGGTTAGATTTAGCCCAAAATAGACAGCCACCGTGGAAGAGTCCTGAGGTGTATGGGTACTCCAGGCTTTCATGTAAATTGTTTCAGTAGGTGAGTCCCTATGAAAGGCACAAAGAGGAGCTAGGTTCAGGATTCGAATTATTGGGGAGCTCAGGGGGCTGAACGCCCCTCATAAGAAACAAGAGCCCCCTGTAAGATCTGCAAATCATAATCGGGGGAGGGGGCCTCCAATTTTATTAGGGCATCATGATAGGCAGCCCAATTTCTTTTTGCAGATCCCTCCCCAGGAGTCAAAGTGTAATTTGAACCCTGGCTGGGTTGCTGTGGCAATCCCCTAGGAGCTCAGTAAAGGAAGTACAAACAGCATTGACAATACAGTATAGTGAGTGCTACAGCAGCTCTGGACCTGCATTTAGATGGTTTGTGGCTAAATCACACTGCAAAATCTAGCTGCCAAATTTAGTGCAACCCTAATGATGACATTTGTTGCTAGTCAATGTTCACTGATTTTCCTCTTCAGCAGGTCCCTGAGCAATGTGAGAAGTAGGGAGAGGGAGTAGAGACCTATTTCTTGCACCCCCCCGCCCCAACCTCAACCATGTTAAAATCATAATTCAATTAAAATCATAAGACCAGCTTAAAAATCATTGGATTAAAAAAAAATCCAATACATTTTTGGATCTCTTTTTAAAAACCTATAGGCAGGGCACGTTGCCAAGCTTTTCTTCCAGTCACAACCTTCCTGTACTATAGAAATGATGGTACTGTTCTGTGAGGAAAGCAGAGATGCTTTCAGATTTGCTTAACTCCAAGAACTGAGGCCTTAAGAAAAACACCAAGTATTGCGAGGCTCATTTATAAGTCTCATGAGTTAGGAACGCAGCCGTGGCCAGCGGCTGCCTGGCACTTGGGGGAAAGAAGGGGGTGGGAGCAGGGGGAGCCTGTGTGCAAGGTGACCGGGCAGTGTGTTGCTAGGGGAAAGACAGCTGAGCCTAGGCCAGCCCCCTCCTCCCCATCCCGTCCCTTTCTGCTCCACCATTAACCTCCCCCCAGCTGGCCTTATGGTCTGACTCCTGCCCCCACTCCATGGCACCTGCCATGGGCCATTTCCCTCCTGCTCCTCACTGAGCGCTTCACATCAGCCAGAGGAGTGTGGAGGGCAGGAGGGGAGGCACAGTCTCCCTGCTCCCGGTGCCACAGCACTGCAGCTGGCCAGGGGGACCCTGCAGGTGGTCGGGCGTGGGGGCCTGCGACAGCCTGCCAGCCCCTGCGTGCGACCTGCTCGGGCTGAAAATGAACTGGGTTGGGGGCAGTCGGTGAGTGAAACGATGGCACAGGGGCAGTGGGAGGCCGCACCCCCACCACAGCGTGGGGCTGGGTGTGCAGGGGCCTGCCCCATCTCAGGCGGGGCACCGTGTGACAAGACCTATTGCTCTTCCCTGGGGGGAAGGGATGGCTGGCGGCAGAGCAGCCTCCTCAGTTTCCCGTCCCACCGACGGGAGTCTGGGGCTGTCCAGAAGCATCTCCACAGGAGTGGGCAGGATGGCACGTCCCGAAGACATCGCTTCCCTGCCAGGCACTCGGTTAGGCAACGCGGGCTGTGTGGGAAGGGGCTGTCTCCCGCCCACCTGGGACTGGGCAGACATAGGGGATGTGAGAAGGCTTATATCCTCCCTCAGGTCCAGGACGGGGCAGCCTGGGCAGTGTGTCACTGTCAATGAAAATGAAAATGAAAATATTGCTGGTATTATAACTATGGATGCTGCTGGATTTACTATGAATTATTTCTAACCAAATCTGATACCTTCCACATTTTATGATAGTCCAAATGCATGTTTCTCCATGAGGAGAAATCAAAGGGACTCAAGCTCGTCTGAACCAGAGGAAGTTTGATGATAAAGGACCTCCCATTTAAACAAAGCCAAGTTTAGCCAGAGGAAACCTTTAGTTCCTCTGTTTCCGCTAACCAATGTTAAATAAAAACAAAGCAGTAGCCAAAGACAACAGATTACCCAAACCACCCAAAACGGTTGAAAGATATGTGCTGCTACCCGTTGTTTATCACCTGGGACTATCACCATGGTTTCCTGTTTACAACCCCATTGCTTCCCCTTCTTTAGTAACTGCCAGCCAACATGGAAAGTGTCTCTATGCTGTCTTCTTCATCTGGAAAAGATTTCACTTTTTGATCTGGTTCTCAAAAGACAGAATTTAATTATTTATGTAACTTAAATTCCTCACTGTTATTATCCCATCAGGAATTAATAATGTTAATTAAAAATCTCATTCATTATCATATGACTTCATACTTTTTGTGTCTTTTCCCAAAATGATGGGCAAACTCATCTTATAAAAAAAAAGTTTTATAAAAAAACTGAATTTAGCTATTGGAAGGCATAATTCTGAACTCATAGTTTATTTGATTTACATATAATTTTATTCTATTTATTAGTTTTATTATAGCAGCATATAATAATCCCATTTGAGATTGTGATTTTATTATATTAAACAGAAAACACTTTGTGTTCTGAAGAGTTTACAATTTAAGTAGATACAAAGGGTAGGAGAAGTTAAGTATTGTTATCCTCATTTTTACAAATCAAGAAGTAAGGCATAGAAAAATTAAGGGATTTTCCCAAAGGCACCCAGGAAAACTACAGAAGCAGCAAAAAATTGGACCCAGATACTGAGTACCAAGGTCTTTGCCACAAGATTCTCTCTCTTCTTGAACCAAAAGTGAAATCTAAAAGTTGTTTAACATACTTACTACTTAGATGTACATTTCAGGGGAGGATCATGCACAGCTGCTGGGCTGTAAAGAAACAGGAAAATCACCACCCACAAGCTGGTAACATTTTTATACTCAATATTTAAATTTAAAAAATCCCCTTCATTTATTTATTTTTTAATTACTATACCACCTAATTTCCACTAGAAATTTAAAATTCAAAGGATTTCACCAAGCTTTTGAAACTAGGCTTGCTAAATACAATTTTAGAATCATCCTAAACACACATGCAGAGTCGTACTAAAGTAACCCCATAAAGATTTTTTGACAGCTTTTTTTTGAAGGGAAGTTTTAGCTTGCAATAACTATTAGCATAAATGCTTGTGAATACTGTCCTTATACTTGTATAAATACAAGACATCTTAGAGCAGATATCTAGGCCCCCCGCTTGGTGGCCAGAAGTGCACTTCTCTGCATCTGGCCACTGCGGGGTACAATGATCCAAAAAGGTTGAAAACCCCTGTGTTAAAGAACAGGGGCAATGCTCCATTGTTTTTCTTTGTTAGTTTTGCTTTTTTAATACTGTTCACCATGGCACGAAAGGCAGAATAGAAAAGTGCAGAATGAACTCATAGATTCATAGATGTTAGGGTCGGAAGGGACCTCAATAGATCATCGAGTCTGACCCCCTGCATAAGCAGGAAAGAGTGGGTCTAGATGACCCCAGCTAGATACTGATCTAACCTCCTCTTGAAGACCCCCAGGGTAGGGGAGAGCACCACCTCCCTTGGGAGCCCATTCCAGACCTTGGCCACTCGAACTGTGAAGAAGTTCTTCCTAATGTCCAATCTAAATCTGCTCTCTGCTAGCTTGTGGCCATTATTTCTTGTAACCCCCGGGGGCGCCTTGGTGAATAAAACCTCACCAATTCCCTTCTGTGCCCCCGTGATGAACTTATAGGCAGCCACAAGGTCGCCTCTCAACCTTCTCTTGTGGAGGCTGAAAAGGTCCAGTTTCTCTAGTCTCTCCTCGTAGGGCTTGGTCTGTAGGCCCTTAACCATACGAGTGGCCCTTCTCTGGACCCTCTCCAGGTTATCCGCATCCTTCTTGAAGTGTGGCGCCCAGAATTGCACGCAGTACTCCAACTGCGGTCTGACCAGTGACCAATAGAGGGGAAGTATCACCTCCTTGGACCTATTCGTCATGCATCTGCTGATGCACGATAAAGTGCCATTGGCTTTTCTGATGGCTTCGTCACACTGCTGACTCATGTTCATCTTGGAGTCCGCTAGGACTGTAAAGATTCCTTGTATTATTTTAAGGACTTTAAAACAGATAGTTAAGTTATATACTTGGTTAACTGCTTAAGAGTCTTAATTTGGGGATACACAATGTTTTTAATAGTAGTGATTTAAAGATAATGGGGCAGAAGCCCAGCTGGTAGAAATCAGCATAGTTCAAATTGTCTGCAGTAGAGTTTTACTGGCTTTTATGAGCTAATGGCCTTGCCAAATGTCTTAGCTTGAAATATGATGGCTTACACATGTAACTCTCAGTAGTATTAGTAGGTATTAGAGTCCTATATCCTTATACCTCAACATTAAGCTACAGCTTACAAATAAATATGAAATCCTTCCATGCAGATTTAATGTTACTTGCCATCTTTCAGGAGCAGAATCATACTTAAGCAGGAGAGAAGAAAGCAAAAGGCAAGTAGTTATTTTAGCTCTGCATACTGTATATTACACAATTACAAAATAGTTTAATGTTGATTTCACATTCAAGGACGTCTGGACTGTAACATGGTATATCTTTACATACTTTCAGTGTGACTTTTAAGGCAAAATCTTTTTTTCTGGGAAATCCTCATGCTGAATCATGCATTATGTTTTTATTTTAGATTTCTCTGCAGACATGCAATGCAATAATATTAGTTACTGTCCAATTATGAACATTTTCCCACAATGCAGGTATTAGTGCATAATGACTTGAAAATTCATAATGCACAAATATGTGGTCAGTTTAACTAATAGCTAATTACGGACTTGTAGCATTTTTTTCTCTAGACCTATGCATAAAATGTTTGGTTTGTTTAAATGTTTTATGCTGTCATTCAAACTAGTACACCAGCTTCTTTGTATTTACCTGATTTGAAAAAATATTGCTTGGATTAAACATATTCAAATGAAACTGGACAAAAAGAGAAAAAGCAGTGAGGGAGGTGGGACATAAGTGTAATAAGAACAGACATCATCTCCTTAGTAGCCAGGACCAACAGGAGAGTGTTGGGAAGTGAAGCCATCAAGTCTGCACCTTTCCTAGACCCAAAATAGATACCATGGCACTGATTCTCAAGGCATATAGGGGAAGCACAATAGGCTTGCAAAATGGAGCCATGCCCAAGAACAAAGACTGTCGTCCCATTGGAGAGTGGGAGCAGACACTATCCCCGTACTTTTGCATTTTCTAGAACACACCATAGGTCAGTGGTGCCTCATTATTAGGGTCTAACTGGCTAATCCCCAGTAATAATGTTAAGAACTTTGTAGTGGGCTTTAGTGGAGTGGAGGTGACAGAACCAAGCTGGGGGTCTGCTGCAAGGCAAGCTACCGCCTGTCCTAGCTCCTACCTCTCGGCTCTCCCTTGAGCTTCTTAACTAAGTGTCCTGAAGATCAGTGGTCTCAAGTTGCAACAAGGTTGGACATTAGGAAAAACTCTCTCACTAGGAACATTGGAACAGGTTACCTAGAGAGGTTGTGGAATCTCCATCCTTGGAGATTCTTAAGACCTGGCTAGACAAAGCCCTGGCTGGGATGATCTAATTGGGGCTGGTCCTGCTTTGAGCAGGAGGTTGGATTAGATGACCTCCTGAGGTCCCTTCCCACCCTAATTTTCTATGATTCTATGAATATGCATGAAGTAACAGCTGTAAACTATGCACAGGGTCTATTTTGAGGTGATAGGCAGAAGGATTATTTGACATCTGAATAAGCTGCCAAGGGACAGGATGGTGGGTTTTTTGTTGATTTTTGTTTTCTTTTTTTGAGGATAGGGGGTTCAGAGTTTTCTTGTATTATGAGGGGATAAACCACAGAGTTGGAGATTTGAAGACGTAGAAGAAAGAGAGAATGAAAGTGTGAGGCAAGGAAAGTAGGGTACAGAAAAACTAAGGGGTGTGAAAGGATTAGGAGAGGAGAGCAATGAGAACTGTGTTAAACTGTGCAAGGGTTGAATTTACCTATTAGTCTTCCTAATTGGAAATAAGTTTATCTGTGTGTCACAGACTAGGTTCTAAATCAGGTCAAGTACAAAATTACATTTCAGTTCAAAGGTTTTTATGGAATGGCACAGCCTGGAGCCTTCATTGTCCTTCTTGGAGCTAAAACTAAACAAGTTGTTATTGGTTTTATTTACTCATTCATTGTTGTTTGTTGTACTTGATATCTGTGATCTCAGGATGATTTATTTAGCTGAGTGATCATCTGCAAAATTCAAGGCTTGTTCCCTTCATTGCTATTAATGAAATTCAAGAGTTAAACTGAATACGCAACCCAGAGAAATTACAAGTGTTGATCAGATTTGCTTTTGACCCTTGGCATATGAAGACATCTCAAAGGTCCCAGTCATGGGGTTTTCTTTTTTGTCATAGGACAATATTTTCTGTGCCAAGAAAGACAGTCTAGGGGAACAATAAGCTCTGTGTGCCCACATATAGATGGTCACATCTTTATAATCTTGTTGATTTGTTTACCAATTTCTAAGGTTCATAAAAAAATCTTAGCTCTTACAATAATTGACAATATGTAGTTTTCCTTCAAGGAATTTGACACTGTTTTATGCAAAAGAGATTTTAAATTTTTAACGTGGCATTTGAGAAAGTGAAGGGATCAATTTTTCCACAAAAATAACCATGATTATTTTTGTTTCAAAGACAACAGTCAGTAATATTTATATAAGATGCAATCTTTTTTTGAAGTAATAAATGTGACCTTTAAAAATATTTTTACAATCCCTACAGCTATATCCATAGTGTGTAGGGATTTTGTATGTGATTTTATTGACAGTAAATGGAATTGTGCTGCTAAGCTGTTTATGCAGTTGTATAGAAGTGTGCCAGGGGATCTGGAGTTTATTTAAAGCAGCTAATTTTTCTTTTGAAAAGTATAGGAATTCTTCGAAAAGAAAAAACTTAGATCAAAGATGAAGCTACTGGGAGTGTCCTCATCCCCTAAAAGTTCAAGAGTCAGTTTAGATCTTCTCAATCTGTATGTTGTTAACCAGATAGCAAGCAAGAAGGATAATACTGGTAAGTTTAATATAGTAATAGTCAGGTTTTACAATTGAGAGCCATATACTGTAACCTCGAACTGCTACTGTAAGATTATTAACTGATTATGTCAAGAATTGCATCTACCTTTAGGTAAACATAATAACTAAAAGTGAAAACAATATCCTCACAGAAAACCAGGACAGAAGAGGAACCAAATCATCTTGGCTAGCACCATAAATTCACCTTCAAAATCATGCAGACCATATGCACTCATTTCATTTTGCATCCTTTATTTCCCTTATGCCCTTTTTCCAAGTACTCCATTCAAATTCTATTTCTAGTGTCATAGAGTTGTTGGTTGTAGCCATGTTGGTCTAAGGACATAGGCAGACAAGGTTCTTGAGGTAAATGTGATATCTTTTATTAAACCAACTAAATAGTTGGAAAAATTGTTCTTTGCAAGCTTTTGGGTACAAACACCCTTCTTCAGACACAGGGAGAGTGTGTTGTTTCTTTGCGTTCTCTCCTGGGTAGAAACACAAAGAACACAAAAAAATCCCACCCAAAAAACTCTCCCTGTGTCTGAAAAGGGTGTTTGTACCCAAAAGCTTGCAAAGAACATTTTTTCCAACTATTTCGTTGATCTACTAAAAGATATAACATTTACCTAAAGAACCTTGTCTGCATATTCCTAGTGTCATGCCTTCTTTCATGGTAACGACAACACTTGGAATAGCCTCTTCCTCCTGCTATACTGAGTGCCTTTCTCCACATCCTTCCTCAGAATCTTACTTTGGTCTCCTGAATAACAAACATCTCCACATTTCCTGAAAACCTCCTGTTGTTCTGTGTAACATTATCTGAGTCAGATGATAGGGATCTTTCCATTTTATGCTCAAAAAGGTGAGGGTGGAAACAGGCTCCTTTGTTTTTTCATGGGTAGTGAGACCAAACTGAATGAGAATTATAATAGAGCCTTGCAATGCCTGGAATTTGATGGATACAAAGGAACATACAGCTAGAATAATACATTTAAAATAGGATTAACAATAAGCAGTTCAGACAGAGAAAATGTCAAGCAAAGCAAAAATATACTTATATCGGTTAGGTTGCCTGTATTGGTTAGGAAGAATGAACAATGGGTTATGCCTTGCTAAAATAAACTAGAGAGCTTAAATCTTGCTTTGATTCAGATACCAATTTTCTGAACATTTTTATTACAGACAGCATAAGAAAACCAGTCTATGTTGATATGTCAAGGGGTATAAAAATACCAGTGAAAAGATATAATATGGAACTTCCTGTGTCACCGCAACGTGCATCATATAAAACAAATCTAGATGACATCCAAAACAGGTACCTGTTTAATTATAGGCACTAGCTAACCCTTAATGAAGATGTGCACAAAGACAAGAATTCCATGATGCTATTTCTTTATTTTCATTTGTAAATTTGAAATTTGCAACGTGCCATTTCAAGGTTCTAGAGAGTATTACAAAGGTTAAAAAAGGCAATTAAGACAAACCACCCCAGCAGTTTCCATGCTCCTACTCAGGAAACCTACCCAGATCTAGAGATACCTGAACCAAAATAAACCTACCTTATTTGACCTTTTATTGTGTTTTTCCCTTCTCATAAGCCTAGCTAAGTAGATAGGCATTATAGCCTGCAAAAGTAATCAAACCTGGCTTATTTCAAACCACAGAAAAATGACTTAGGGCCCAAAACTGAGGACCTCTCATACAGAACATCCTGCCAGCAGCTCCCCTTTCCTTAAACTGAGGGGTCTTCAGATTAAATATCTCTGCTAATTGCTAGCATGGCAGTTTGCCATACAGAACAAATAGTCTCTCAAATAAATCAAACCAGAAATGTCACTCTCAACCAATAAATGGCTTTTAGAGATGACAGAGAACTTGTGTACTATGCTGTTGGCAAGAACTATCACTTAACGAGTAGGCTGCTCGATTGTGCAGCAGCTCCATTCCCTAGGTTGATGTGTCTGTATGTAGAACTATAGCAGTAGTCTAATATTGAGATAGCAAAGGCTCCCACTGCTGCAAGATGGTTCTAATCTTTAAAACAGACCAAGGTGGGAAAAAATTCTTCCTGAACATTACCAGTAGCAACTGGGAATTGAACAACAATCCAGCCTGCAAACTCTAGTTAACATATGAATTCAGGCCATACCTACAGACTAGGAACAGTATGCTGGTAAACAGTCTCACTGAAAATGTTTTATGAGCCAAAGTAGTCAAAGATGCCACCATGAACTGCTAGATGCTGTGAAAAAATGGCTTAATATGATCCATATAAACAGGGAAGGAATGAGTAAAAGTTAAAGTAGTGTAAGAGTGATATTATAGCCGTGGTGGTTCAGAAATTATATGAGGCAAGGATTTTTTAGAGTGATATCATTTATTGGACCAACTATGTAGTTGGGGTAGAGTTAATCAAGCTTTCAAATACAAGGCATTCTTCTTCAGGTTAGAGGTGATTTTTAATCTCTGCATACAGCACAGGTGCAATTAACACTGTAATACAGCAACCAGTTCTGGGGTCAATATTTTTAAAAGGGATTTTGAAAAAATGGAAAAAGGCAAGAAGCCACAAAACTAATTTAGTTTTGGATAAGATGTTTTACATTGAGATACTTGGGGAAATCAATCTGTTTGGTTTATCCAAAAGAAGGCCGAGAGGTGACTTGATTATGAGTAGATAAATGTTTTCTGGCTAGACTAAGAACTGGTACAAAAGGGTTCTTTAATGTATTGGAGGTAGGCATAATGAGAATGAATAGGTGCAAGCTGATAAATTAGACAGATAAATTAGAAATAAGGTTCTAATATTTAATGGTACCCTTCAGAACAAATTACCAAATGGACTGGTGGATTTTTAAAGTCTACAAAGTAAGTCTGGAAGCCTTTCTGCAGGGTGTACTTTAGCGAAACATAAATTATTAAGTAAATAGTTGAAATTCTATGGCCTATGGTTAGGAACCTACCTAAGTCATGGTGAGACAATGGTTTTTCATGGCCCGCTTACAGTGCACTGAGCAGATTTCACAGGCATTTTGTAGCAGTCCCACCCGTTGCCACTGATTGGCAGAGGGCACCTTCACTCAGTCTGTGTCACTACTGTCCCTGTACAGTAGTGATGTAGACTGAGTGAAGATGCCCTCCGCCAATCAGTGGCAAGGGCACTACATCTTTGCCCTGCCCCGGTGGGAAAGTCTGCAGGGGGAGAGGAAAGGGCCATGAGGGAGGGAAGGGAGTGGGGCTGAGGATGAGACTGGGTACGGGACTGAGCAGGGATCAGGAGGGAGCAGAGCCAAGCCAAGACTGGGGCCAGGGCCCACTGTGCCCATGTGGCCACCTCTTCCCCCATGCCTGGGATCATTGCCTAGCTCTGGCACCCCCCGCACCAATGAATCTGCCACTAGGGCTGTGCAAAGCTTTGGTCCCTGAATTGATTCAGTGGAGATTTGGCCTGATTCAGTGGCTGAATCTCCAAATCCAAATTGAATCAGGAGACCCTTTAATCTCTCTGAACTGAATTGGAACCCTCTGAATCAATGCAGAGAGATGCAGAAAGATTCGGACATAGACACAGCTTTAAATGTTTTTTCTGCATACCTCAAGGTACCAAGTGGCTCGTGAATGCTGAAGTGGTAAGGCAGATGGAGCATCCCACGGAAGCATGGGGAGCTCCCCAGCACACTTGGCAGCAGACCTGGAAATGTATCTTCTTTTTGGGTCTGCTGGGAAGTGCACAGGGGGGCCCCCTGTGCCTCCCTGGGTCAGTAACTGGTGCCTCCTGGGTCTAGGAGTGCACCTGGGGTCCCCCCATGGCTGATCGCTGAGCCAGGGGGGAATGAAGGAGCCCCCCTGTGCACTCCCAGATGGACCCGGAAGTGGACTGGAAGTACTTCTGGACCACTTCTGGGTTGACCACCGAGCACACTGGGGGGGCAGGGGGGGCACGCTTTTGTGGGATGGTCCATCCCCCCCCACATCACAGCGGTCACAAGCCATGCCTGGTACCTCGAGGTATATAGAAAAAACATTTACAGCTGTGTCTATGGCCAAATCGCTGACTCTCTGAATCAGCATTGAATCTTCAGATTTAGATTTGGCCAAATCAAATTAGGGACAGTGATCTGAATCAATGAATTGAATCACTGTCCCTGATTCAGGCTAAATCTGAATTTGAATCGAATACGGCTCATTTTGCATACCCCTATCTGCCGCCCCCCCCACCCTGCACCAGCCCCATTCTTGTCCCTGGCTCTGCACTGCCTGGGGGGGCCCAGAGCTAGGGGCCAGAGTGAGGCCAACCTCAGCTGCACCATTGAACTGGAGGGAACTGAGCCCCTGGGACCCCTGTGCCCACCCCACCCCAAGTCATAGCTGGGCATGGGATGAAATCGTGGCTTATCCAGGGAGATGTGGGGAGGCGGGGCAGCTGCTGCTGCTGCTGCATGCATAGGGGGAGGCATGGCGGGGGTGCATGCCCCCAGATCTGCATGGGGCAGGGCTGGCTGCTGCGGGCTGGGGCTGGGACAGCACTGGCTTCTTCCCAGCAGGGTGGGCCAGGCTGCACTGGGGTGCATGGCGGTGGTGCTGGGAGGGGGGTCGGAGGGGCTACTGCAAATTTTGGGGTGGCTGCACCCTCCCATAGTCCCCTTCCAGTGCCACTACCACAGCCCCAGCCCCAGCAGGCAGCCTGTCCTGCCTCTCACAGATCTGGGGGCATGTGCCTCCCCATGTCTCCTGGGGTGCGCATAGCAGCAGGAGCCACACCCCACAGATGAACTGCTCACGGCTCAGTCCTGTGCCCCACCAGCTGTGCAGCACCTTCCCCTCCCCTAGCCCCAGACCCACTCCCTCCCTGCAGCTGCTGGAAGCCCTTGGCTGGGCTGCTTTGTGGCCCTACCACTGCCCCGCGTTTGGACGGGCTAAGCCTTGTTAGTCCCCCGTCCCCCTTCTGCTACCTATGGTGAAAAGTATAGATG